TAGTTGGAAGTCAGTGCTTGTCTCGTCCCTTTCTTGTCTTTTGTGCATTTTTCGCGCTGCTAAAACCCAAGGAGGATACATATAACGGCTCTGTCGATAGTACTGCAGCGTAGCGTTGTAGTTTAATGGTTCTGTCGATGCGTCGTCTGGATTGGACAGCTCTTCCAGTGGAGCCCGGCCGGTCAGCTCTCGGGCAACCGCATGAACGCGTTCATTACCATGGAGAGAGGCGTGTCCAGGAGTCCAGACGATACGCACAGGACGTAATGCGGACGGTGAGACAGAAGAGAGGATATTGTGTGTATGTGCAGCCACAAGTCCTTGAGCGAAAGCACGGCAAGCAGCTTTTGAATCTGTTACAATAGTGACAGGGGAGTCATGTGACAGTGTCGTAGCGTGAACAATTGCCAGAGCGAGAGCTCCCTCCTCTGCCAGACCACTGTCTGTAGTGCGAAGTGTGGCAGACGCCACAAGGGCGTCTGTGTCATCTGTCACGGCTAAACACATGGCTGACTTCTCTGGGTAGCTTGCTGCATCAGTGTAAAGTACTTGTAAGTCTGATGTACCATCACCAAAGACGCGTGTCATAGCCTGAACTCGGGCACGTCGACGACCGGCGTGGCGGGAGGGATTCATATTGCGTGGAATCGGAGGCACTTTGATGAGTGCGCGGACAGTAGAAGCAAGTTTATGTCGCGGTACCTGTGCGGTTTTTTGAGGAATCGGGTAGCCAAGACGAGACAGGATGGCGCAGCCCTGACGGGTCTGCCTGAGCCGTTGGAGCTGACTGTTGTGCTGGGCCTCGATGAGTTCGGTTATGGTGTTATGGACTCCTAATTGAAGGAGGCGTTGGGTAGATGCGTGTGGAGGCAAGCCGATAGCCGTCATCACAGCTGTCCGTAGAAGGATGTCCATCTTTTTTCTTTGAGCTAGAGTGAGATTGTGAAAGGGAAGATGATAGGTGAGCCGACTATGAGTGCTTGTACTAAAGCGGAGGACATCCTTCTCACAGAGGCCTCTCCTGCGATTGGTGATGCGTTGGATCATGTGTGTAATTTGAGTTATCTGCTGAGCCAGAAGGTGTGTAGTCTGCGAGGCCTTGCCGTCGGACTGAAGGTAGAGGCCTAAAATGCGAATTCGGGGTACAAGAGGGATAGGATGGCCATCAAGAAACAGGGAAATGTCAGGAGAATCAGCGGTTTTGCGGCGCCGCTCCGACTTATCCACTGAGCACGTAAGGCTGCCGGCAGCAGCATAGTCTTGTACCACAGACACAGCTTCCTGTAGGGCGTCCGTCTGATCCTTTGGTCGCCCAAACTGTAATGTCATCTGCATAGATGGCATGCTGGATGTTGGGAACCTGTTGTAATAGGGAAGGGAGTTTAGCCATAGCCACGTTGAACAAAGTGGGCGAGAGAACCGTGCCCTGTGGTGTTCCTCTGCCTGCGAGATGAATGACGTCCGAACGGAGGTCTCCAATCCCAATAGTGGCCGTGCGGTCAGAAAGAAAGGACCTGACGTAATTGTAGATACGTGGGCCACACTGAGATGAAGCGAGATGGTCAAGAATAAGGTCGTGGGAGACGTCAAAAGCACCCTTCAGATCCAGGGCCAGAATAGCTCGGACCTGGTTTGAAGTGGGGCTATCCAACACGTCCTCCTTAAGCTGTAATAATACGTCCTGTGTAGAGATACCAGGACGGTATCCGAATAGTGTATCAGGAAAGAAGTGATTGTCTTCGAGAAATGGTTGTAGTCGAGAGAGAACAACGCGTTCAAAGAGTTTAGCTACACATGAAGTTAAGGATATAGGGCGAAGATTCTGGAGGGATAGCGGCTTGCCAGGCTTTGGAATAAGTATGATTTCTGCGTGTCGCCACTCCTGTGGTGATATTCATTCTCTGCAGGCTGATCTCAATAACATACTTCATTGGTGTCATATTTGGAAAATGGAACTAAACATTAAAAAATGCAAGTCTATGAGGATTTCTCAGTCGAGTACAACTTGTCCAACTTACTTTCTTCACAGTCACCCCCTCGAAAGTGTAACATCTTACCGGTACCTCGGCGTCCACATAACTAACACTTTGTCCTGGAAATTACGTACAGAACATATAGCGTCCAAAGCTAATAAAACACTGGGTTACCTTCGAAGAAACTTCTTTCTTGCTCCATCGTCACTAAAGTTATTACTATATACCACATACGTCCGTCCTCAAATGGAATACGCTTCATCTGTTTGGGACTCCGGTCAGGTAACATTATCACACATGTTGGAATCCATTCAAAATCGTGCAGCTCGTTTCATTTTGGCTAACTACCATCGTTCAGCTAGTGTCACTCAAACGAAGGCATTTCTAAACCTCATCCCACTAGTTACCCGCCGAAAGCGCACTCGCATTTGCCTGTTTTATAAAATATTCTATCATAATCCGAAACTCCGCGTTAAATCCAAGCTGCTCCCTTCATTTCTCTTCGCCGTAGTCACCAACAAAAAAGTCGCAGTCCCCCATTGCAACACAGTAACGTATGCCCAATCATATCTCCCAAAAACTTGTAATGAATGGAATTCCCTGCCTGCATCAATAACAAGCATCAATGAACCGATTCAATTTAAGAATGTCCTTAAAACAATGATTACCTAATTACCCCCTGTATGTTTGTTAAACAGTTTATTTGTATTGCTTTGTGCCTTCACCATGTAATAAAAATAAAATTAGTGTTATCATTTGCTTTATTATGATGTGAGTTGTTAGGAGTAATAATCTTTGTACCCCAATTAGTGACATTTTTATGCCATTTGCTTTGTATTCCTTGTTTTTTTCATTGTTGTGCATGCCCTTCCCCTCTGAAATGTACTCTGTACCCTGAGGGTAAAATAAATAAACTTCAGACGTGCAGCGGTGTTCGTACCACGAGTGCACATTGCATTTAAAATAAGCTTCTGTATGATCCCTTTTCAACTGTTAGTTTTGGCAGTTGCCTGGACCTCTTTTCCAGTCCGAAGTGGCACTTCCGAAATCTCTTGTAGCTCAGCTTTGATTTGAGCTACTACAGGTCATAACCATACACACTGCACGCCATTATTACTAAGAGGTGAAAAAAGGCAAAGCCAACGATGAAATAGGCAATGAAAAGATGTATACATTTGTGAATCCGTCTTCGTTTTCTTTTTGTTTTCTTGCGTCGACGCGTAGTAGCGTAACATAATACCATACCCCATATGCTGGCTCATAGATCGAAGTAGGCTCACACACTGTTTATGACCAGCAAGCATTACGCACTGTCGCAATCTCTCTTATTCAATCAGGGCATTCTACCACCATCAAAGACCGAGTAGTTAAGTTTTTAAGGGGTTCACTCGTACAAACATACAATGACGGAGAGAGCTAGTTCGATTACAGTCCTCTTCTTTAAGTGCAACAAAAGAGGCACAGTACCACAAAAGGATTACTAAAAAAAAATAACACGAAAGTTGTCTCCATGCATGTGTTCGAATGTGTACAAAACTTTTGACCCATGTGCATGATGCAGTTCGTCGCATTGTTCATCGCATTGTTTGGCAACAGTTCGTCGCATTGTTCACAGAAGAAGCTTTACGGGAAACATAACTAATGCAATAATGAGTAGTTTCAAACTCTCGCTGCCGCTCGTGATTGCCCCATCTCGCACTACGGAACAGGCTTTAGAAGATATCGCCACGCGTAATGATAAAGGCACAGTCCCCAAGCGCCCGCACTGCAATCTGTTGAGTCCTCATAAAAATGGCAGCAAGCGTGTATCATATCTTTTCAGCGTCTGCTAGCCCGAAACCTGCCCAGCAGCTCCCAGAGAGTTTCCACTACTGAATTGTTGACCCTTGGGCTCTCCACGAGTAGCCGAAACTGTCCAACCAGAGAAAAACAAATGCCAACCGGAAGGGCGCTGCAGGGGGGGACAGAGCAGCCCGAGAAAAATGAGTGTGCTCTGGCTGGCTCTGGCAGCCTGTGGGTAGCCAGAAGGGGAAAATTGAAGAGCACGAGAGTTCAATCAAGGCTGTATTGTATTTCATTGGTATTTGAGAGTAGTAATTGAAACTCTGGTAAATAGTCCTGTCGGGTGTCATATATACTTATTAGTTATTACATATAAGGCTAGCCTTGACTGATGTGTGGGGTTTAACATTCCAAATCCACCACATGCACCCAAATCTGAGCACACAGGCCTGCAGCATTTTCACCTCCATCGAAAATGCAGCCGGGATTCGACCCCGCGTTATATATGAGGCTTGCCAGATAACGTAGAATAATCGATGAAAAGGTAAGAAGCGAATCATTTCTAATTCTAGAGAGTTATAAAAGGCAAGAAACTTCATACAAAAGTAATGACATGTTTTCGTAACTCACCCCATAGTGTCAGCTTGAATTGATAGACCTCGATGATTCTCAGCACCTCACGTGCACAACGATAAGTCCACACAACGTGTTCAGCTTCTCGGGTTCGTCATATCAAGGTTTGCCCTACTGCGGTGGTGTAGTGACTGAGGTACTCGGCTGCTGGCCCTCATCTCGCGGGATCGAATCTTAGCTGCGGCGGCTGCATTTTCGATAGAGGCGGAAATGCTGTATACCTGTGTGCTCATATTTGGGGGGACGTTAAAAAACCCCAGGTGGTCGAAATTTCCAGTCCTCCACTACGGTGTCTCTCATAATCACATGGTGGTTTTGGAACGTTGAGCCCCACATATCAATTAATCAATTATATCGAGGTTTGAGTGTATATGTACATCTTACCTTAGAAAACGGCGCCCTTCAATACAAGGTTGATTTGCCAGGCTAAGCAATAAGCTGAATTTATTGGCCAGCCCCTATTCACAACACCTACTCTACCAGAACTGCACCATTCTCTGTCTCTTTCTGCTATTGTTGTGCTTGCACAGTACGCTACCCGTTTAATGATATCAGCTTTCATAACAGAGTCATTGGGTTGGGTTTTTTTTTTGTGTGTGTGTGGCTCTGCAGGTGTGAACCGGCAGCTGAGTTATTCATTTGTTCAAGCAGACGGCCACTTCAGCGTAGATGCGCACTCGGGGCTGGTGCGGCTGGAGCAGCCGCTTGACCGGGAACAGTGTGCTCGCTTCAACCTCACAGTGCAGGCCCAAGACCACGGCCAGCCCCCTCTGGCTTCCCGGACTCACCTGGCAGTCACCGTGCAGGACATCAATGACAGCCCACCCGAGTTCACTCAGCAGGTGTATGCTGCTGCCGTGTCGGAAGTGGCACCCGTGGGATCGCCCCTCAGTGTGGCCGTCAAAGCCGCCAGCCGAGATGTGGGTGTCAATGCTCAGATCACGTATGCTCTAGTTGCTGGCAATGACATGGGACACTTCAGCATCGAAACCAAGACAGGTACGTTGTGCTCAAAGACAGATGCACTTTCTGGCGTCCACTCAAAGTACAGTGTGCACACTGTATGAGTACCAAATAATGCACTGTTAAATTAGGGGTTTTCTGACTGGCTTTATTGGATACCAAAGAGTTCCATAGAGGTAGGCTTGTGCGAATATCAGTGTATTCAAATTCGCTCTATTCGAATTTAAATTATTGAAAATTTCAAAGTATTTGAAATGAACGATCAAGTGTATATTAGTCCACGTGCAACACCATAGAAGTGGTTTCACTGCAGTGGAGGGGTGCTAAGCCATCAAAGCATCTATTTAAATGCATTTTATTTTGTATGTATAGCTTCCTATAAATGTGGTTTCACTGCAGTCAAGGGCTGCTAAGCTAAGAAAATATTTATATGTTCGAAATCTTCTGTTATAAGTAAGCTGGCGTCCCTTGCACAGACACTCAGCGCGTCCATCACGGACACCTGGTGCGTCCGCCAGAGACGCTGGGCACGTCCTTCACAGACACCGAAGGCTACAACACTGCACAAGCCTGTTCCCTGACCCGCCCGCGAGTCGGGCTGGGCCGGGTAAGGCATTGTTGGATTGGGCCCGGGCTGGGGACCTAGAGCTTCGAGCTCGGGTCGGGCCTGGGCTAGAGGCAAGCCCGTATTAGGCCCAGTCTCATATATCGGGTGTTTGAAGTACTTACAGAAAGGAGGTATCTGCATGCTACCTGAGGCGTTCTCTTTACTTTGGCAGAAAACATCTTCAGATGTGTGCAAACATTAATTGAGGCAGTAATTATGAAATTGAGCAATAATGTTTACACCATTTTAGATTATTAACATATCATAGAAGGGGTTTCGAAGTGAATGGCAGATGGGCTGTTTGGTGTGCCAGTTTCGGTTCCGCCAGCTGAATCAGCCAGATTTCATTGCTCTGCAATGATTACCAGTGACCGCCTTTCGAAAATTTCAGAGTGGCTGTAGACTATTCGTAGGAAGAACTATAATTTGCCTTTTTGACTCGACCGGCTATTTCCAGTGGTGAAAAGTTATTTCTCATATTTATGTAATTACTGCCATAATTAGTGCAGATAGAAGCTGTCATCATTTCTTTCATCTGTGGCGACATCATTGAATCTGCAAAGACGAATTACTTTGACGAAATCATCATTGCAAAAGTTAAACATTGGCAGATGCAGTTGTTTTCCCAAGCGTCATCTGCGAACCCGGAGAATGTCTACTGATTAGATCGAACCGATTATGAAAAGTAATATGCCACGAAACAGCAACGTTGGTTGGGTGTCAGATAACAGAGCTAATCGCCATTGACACGAAAATGGGGTGGACTCTTTAAGGACCATCATCCGTTGACAGAGCATTGTGGACATTAAGCGAGAAGTTACATCTGCATCCTGCGAAGAAATGTCTTAGAGAGGAGGATTTCTCATACTTGCCACAATGTGTTGCGGAGCCCGATACCAGTACTATTGCCAGAACGACATTCCCGCAGGAGGACAATGACATAAAAGGGATCAACAAAGCCATCGATTTCCGAAATGGTCGCGAAGAAGTTGCGCTACGAAGGACATCTGTGAAGGGTCATGGCAGAGTTGCCATTTCTTTGATGAAAGGAACAGTTTAACCTCGTGCAATAAGTATGAAGCCACACAAGAAAGAATACTTACACCATCTCCAGCTAAAGGAAATTATGTTACGATGTGACATAGTGAGTGCTAACATTTACACTGGCGGCGACGTTTAGGCTCATGGCGACTTTGCGCAGAAGAGAAACCTTGGGAGGCGTAAAGCATGCAGTGATCGACCGGTGTTTCCTACTGGAACATGCTAATTGCTGTTAATGGGCAAGGAGAGACAGAAGACTGCCAATGGACAGAAACCCGCAGTCTGCTTTCGGATAATGCGCTGCTGCGAATTTTTATTGTTTCATAGTGCAGAGCAGAAACCTCCCACCGGCATTACCTCAGAAATCAAGATCTATTGCTTATATATACAGGGAGGCCAGTGAACAGTTGTGCAGCGCAATCGGTCGTTTTTCTTTCTTTCATTAAAGAAATTTGCTAGCAGGTGGTTTCTGCGTCAGCGTTGCCAGAAAGGGGGACCGTAGGAGAGGAGAAAGGGGGAAGCAGATGCGCAAGCGCCATAAGGGTAGTCAAACCGCACACCGGATTGAGCTTAAACCTAAGATGCTTCGAATCTGAAAGAGACATGTGAAACAGATCACCAGTGATAACACGTTAGACGTAATTCGCTAAATGTGTACAACAAGAACACCAGTTCTGTTTATCTCCTCTTCGAAAGGAGCAGAAGAGATTTTAGGTCCAACTTGAAGAGGGAGTTCAAGGCAAAAAAAGAACTCTTGGCTTCTGCTCTCTCTTCGACAACGCCACAACTTCCAAAGACGGTAACAGGCCTGAATGACCGCCGCCATATCAGCATTATGCACACCTCAATTCGGGTGACATGCATTGATGCCGTTGTCATAGTGGCCTTCATGGCACTCTCACTGAGCTATGTGAATGGTTCTGGTGCAGTCATTGCGCATATATGGTTCTGGTGCAGAAATGTGCAGTAATTGTAATAAATGCGCACGATTCTGACTCTATTGTCCCCCAACAGCTATAGACACTTCACCAAAAGACAGTGTGCCCCGATCGAAGCTGCTTCAAGTCAACAGTATCGATAGTGTGTATGCCTGTGGCTGTGGAGGGAGGCTTTGCCGTGAAAGAGTATATTGTCATAGTTAAATTTGTGCAGGTTAAAGCAGTGCATAATTTAAAGTGGCGTTCCGGTTAACGCACTCTTATCGCATAGGATTTCATATTCCCATAATGCTCAAGACAGATAGTCATGAACTGAAGTCAAGGCTTTTGAGACACATTGATCTAAGACTTCCCTACACTCGTGCAAATAATGTGAAAATTGTAGTTGAGATTTATTTAATGTGGCGAGAATTTGTGGCAGGATGATGTGAACTGTGAAAGGCTGCCTGCGGAGAATATAAGGAAAGGATAGAAGAATCATAAAGGTGAAAGATGAAACAATTGCACGTGACACGGTCTCAAGAGACAAAGAAGGGTAGTGGGGCAGAGGCTTCTTTGTTCTTAGAATTTTGGAATGAACACCATGTGGTAGATGGCACTGTGCTGACAATCCATCTTTCTAGCCGCCTACGACTTTTAGCTTTCCTGGCCGTTTCAATGGTGGTAGTGATACCACAACAGGTATGGCATGACATGGCTGTATGACGAGCATAACTGATCATAACATGAAAATCATGAAATGTATGTCATGAATGTCATGATTTACATTTGATGGTTGCGGGGTCTCAACGAGGCGAGCGCACGCCACGCTCTTGGAGTGAACGGACACAGTAGACGCGGTCGGGGCAAACAAACACAACATACATTTATTCAACTAATTTAGACGACGATATCGTCTGCCAAATTCATACATAACTCGTTATGTAATACGCTAGGACATCCTTACACAATAACACAACAAACACACAACACGAAAAACACACTATAATACACCCAAGGCGGCGTCGCCAACGCTTGACTTACCACTTGGGCCCCCAGGCGCGCAGGCCCGTGGTACCCCACGCCGAGGACCCACGCTCGAGACAACCGTTTGCGGCAGTCGCCAGGCGCAGAAGAACTCGCTCAACTCTCGCCCGCCACCAAGGCCTGCCTTCCGCCAGGGGTCACTGCCGGCGCTGCCACTCTACCAACAGTGGTACTCAACGCGAACACAACGCCATGTATTGCCAGGCGGTAATCACTCCAAATGTGGCCTTGGGGCGAGACATGGCGCAAACAAATATACAGGCGGTGTCAGCACCCCCACATTTTCTCAACCTTAAATAAAACCATATCCTGAAAACAAAGATCAGCTACACAAGCTTTAACAAAAAAATGACATCGCATGTCCATAATGTCCTTGCACTACGACACCGCTGCTGGTAGACACTGCTGCACCATCCGTCTCGACTTCATCTCAAGACCGGCCCCGCAACAGCAACGTTGCCGTCGCTAGCGCCGACACGTCTTCCACTTGCGACCAGCACTCGCGAGGGCACCGGACTGCAGGCAGTTGCGCAGGTCCCAGGCATCTCCATCGCCCGACCTCACGACCGCATTCCTGGCCAGCGACGCTGACGATGTGCAGAAGACAGCCGGCCGTGGATGACATCCCTCCCGCTGAAGACATAAAAAAAACTCAAAAGAAACAATGGAGCAGGGCCTAGGGAAGGGAGCTTCGGGCTTTTCGGCCACATGGTACGATGGTCAGTACTGCTAGCTAATACATCGGCGGCGGCTGAGACGCCCATCAAAATAAAACTACAATCACTTTTCCTAACTCGTGCATCACAAGATAGAAAAAAAGTGAGGGACGTAGCGCGCAACACCTCAACGCCACGATCCACCTAGTTGTGCCACGTGCGACAGGAGCCTGTGCAGAGCCTTAGGCCTAATGAGTCGCTCGACAACAACCGGCATTCACCCAGCACCCAGCCTAAGCGCAGAAGAGGCAGTCGCGAGACGTCCACTCTGTGAAATGGCCCTATCGCTCGCCGCACACAGCAGCTTACCGAGCGATCGGCGTCCACCGCCCCGGGCGGTGTCACGTCGCCCCGGCGCCGAGCCGCAATACAAGTCAGCAACGATGCCCGGCTCCCTGAGGCCAAAGAGATAGAAAAAGCTATTTACAGAAAATCGGACCACCCACCAGGCTTCCGTACTCACTCACTTCGGGCCTGGCCTACAAAACACGTGCTCTAGGCCTTACTCACCCCAGGATGCAGACCCTATGACTCTCGTCCCTATTGAACAATGGTTTTGAAAACTAACAACAACAAAAAAGAACAACACTTGCGAGCAAAAAAAAAAATAAAAAGTCAATCTGGCGACAAATTCAAACACATTGCAAAACCAATCTCCTCGCTTCTCAACAAAGCACACCACCGACGCTAGCAAAGAAGTCCCCCCCT